GTGTTATAGAAAATCGATGAATCATGATTAAATGTTTCTTTCTTCTCAAATTATATTCTCTCAGAGAGACTCATATTTGTGCCAACTAGTGGAACAGAGGTCTCGCCGAAGGCATTGGCACCAGCAACAAGAACTGATGACAAAGTTTAGAAAATACTAAATGGATACTGCTGCTTTTGACAGCACTTCACTGTTGATAATGGCCACACATGCACGCGAAAAGAGGCAACGGAGAGAAATGCTCTTAAGAACGCACGTAAGATTGATATTAATTGAGAAAAAAGCGTTTGGGCAACGGCAGCGATTGTAATTTATCAATTCTGACAAGAAACCGTTCCTCTGAACACCCACTTTGATACTCGAGCGACGGAACGGAAGAAGTGTATGTTGCTATTTATATTGTAAATACAGGATTTGAGCTTAATCCGTGCCACGAAACACTCAGCAATCGTGACAGCTGAGCTAAAATATGCCTAAATGTTTATTATCCGCAGTAAATTTGTTTTGAGTAAACAGAGTTTAGACTACCGTGCTGAAATATAGGTGAATCCGTGGTAACAGAAAAATTATTTTGTCAGCCCCCAGGCTAAAGATTGTTCAACTTGAAAATTTAGTAAAATATTTCTCTTACAAGCACGCACCGTTCAGGTTGTCTTAATGTTGGCTGTTGAGATAAGGAAACTTCCGAAGTAACTAAGGTAATGATTTTTGAACACATGCAAAGGAAAACGTGAAGAAATAGTTGAGACTTCATCGTCAAATGTTAGTCGGTTTATCGTCGATACGCATCAGTCATACAATCGCGAGGAACGAACAGAAATTTGGTACAAAGTGTACCATCGCTATAGGTTGTTGTTTAGCGAGTCCGTAGCCACTAAGACAAAAAATATATCAGGACGTACTCTACAAAGTATAGCTAGTGAAATGATTTTTGCAGTATCTGAATCTCCTGACGTATAGGAGAAGACACAAAGAATTTACGAATCTGTGTTCATGCACTGTTTATAAAGTGTTTACAGTGTGATCACAAATGGGGGTGTGTGCAATGTATAGCATGCTTCAAGCAGTTTGACTAACCTGCGACGGCAGTATATGAAAATCAGTTCACTGAGGTGACAAAGGAAGATAAAACATTCATTCTTCTCTTTGCTTTCAATGTGGAAGTGGTCACGAATTATCTCAGATGTTTTCTTCGTCGTTAATGGTCCAACCTTTAGTTTGTGTTTTCGTTTCTGCTTTACGTGTGACCTCTGTCGTCAAGATAAGAAATCTGAGAAGCCTAGAGCTAATACTACAAATACTACGCCGTAACCCGTCGTAAACAGTTTGTCACGCAAATGTGAATAGTCCAAATGCTTCCTTGTAATAATGATTAGAGGGAGACATTAGGCCTATGCCCGATTATTTAGCGTTTCTTGAAGGTCTATACTGAAGCGAAATGAGATATCGCCATAATTTCACACCAGTGCAAAGGAAAAAAATATTTAGAGTAATAACTTGACCCCTCCCCCAGTTCCACCCACGACATTCCCAATTGGCTAAGGCTGACGGCGATAAACAAATAACAAATGTTATTGAACTGTATTATATTTCATTTATCAAAGGTTGGGAATAATCCATACTGCTCTCGAGACATTTCCTGACAAGGAGAGTTTGTTTAAAATTCAAGAGCCTCTTAAGTTGGTGATTATTTCCTTTATTCTCGTAGCCCTAATGTGTGATTTAAGGGAGATATTGTCGGGAGAAATTTGATGTTAGTCACTCTCCGGGGTTAAAGGTTAGAGAGAAAAATTATCTTAGAAAGGAAAGGCTTCCAAAGGTGAAGAAAACGATTGATCTGATGAGCGACTTAATTGAAGTTTTCAAAAATGGGATTTCTTTAAGCCATTCTCGTCCTGAAGTCAAACCTTGAGACTAAGCGATCTTTCAAAATGTGCTTACGCAATTAGCATACATGTCATTCGTCGTTGGAAAGTCCCATCTATGTCCTTTGTAAACAAACTTGTATGGATCGACGTGGATCGCTTTATCTTTCTGATCCCGCCTAGTTAAGGATCATCTGTGGCTGGCTCAAAGATTGACAGTGGGCAAAGTATGTGTAAAGAGAAACTTTTTTGTCCTCCGCGGTCGTTGTTTGCGGTCGTTGTTTGCGGTCGTTGTTTG